AAGGTTGATATCAGTTCCTCCTTACATATTTAGAATTCACCAGTGAAGCCATTTAAGACTCAAGTTTTCTTTTTGGGAAGCTTTTACTTAGAGAACTTCTTTAACAAATATAAGTGAATTCAATTTTCTATTTCTTCTTTGTCAGTTTTAATAAATTATGTTGTTAGGAATTTGAAAATTACATCTATTTTTTTCAAATGTATTGGCATCAAGTTTTTCATAAAATCCTTCCTTTATCTTCTTTTCTCCAGGATCTGAAGTGCTCTCCCATTTTATTATTACTGATATTGGCTATATATAAGAGACTGTTCTTTTCTCAGTGTGGGTTTTGGTGCCTTGCTTTTTCTCTCGTGATCGGTCTTGCTAATGGCTTATCAATTTTGTTAGTCCGTTTCACTGATGAACATTGGCTTTGTTGATTCTATCTATAAATGTTTCTGTTTTTATCTTCATCATGTATTTACTTTCTAAATCATTTTTAGAGACATATAATAGTTGCATATATTTGGGGGGTACATGTGATATTTTGATATTTGCATATAATGAATAATGATCAAACCTGGGTAATTTCAGTATCCATCGCCTCACTTGATCTTAGCCAAAAGGCCGAGAAGCGATGTATCCATCACCTCAAACACTTATCTTGGGAACATTACAATTCTTTTCTCATAGCTATTTTGAAAACTATAATAATTATTGTCAATTATAGTTTCCCTATTGTACTATCAGACACTAGATCTTATTCTTTTGATCTAAGTGTGTTTTGATACTCCTTAACAAAATTCTCTTCAGCTTGCCCTTCCCACATCCCTCCCCAGCCACTGGTCACCACCACCCTACTCTCTACCTCCATGAGAGTCACTATTTTAGCTCCCACATATGAGTAAGAATATGCAATATTTGTCTTTCTGTGCTTGGCTGATTTCACTTAACATAATGACCTCCAGTTCCATCTATCCTGCTGCAAACGATAGGATTTTATTCTTTTTTTATGGCTGAATAATATTATGTTGTGTATATAGACCACATTTTCTTTATTCATTCATGTGTTGACAGTCACTTAGGTTGATTCCATATCTTGGCTATTGTGAATTGTGTTGCAATAAACATAAGAATGTGGGTATCTCTTCAATATACTGATATCCCTTCTTCTGGATATATACACAGCAGTGGGATTGCTGGGTCATATGACAGTTCAATTTGTAGGTTTTAGGAACCTCTATGCTGTTTTCCATAATGGCTATATGACTTTACACTCCCACCAATAGTGGATGAGGATTCCCCCTTCTCCACATCCTTGCCAGCATTTTTAAAAAATCTTTTTTGTGATAGCCATTTTAACTGGGGTGAGACAATATTTTCTTGTGTTTTTGATTTGCATTTTCCTAATTATTAGTGATGTTGAGCAGTTTTTCATATACCTTTGACAATCTGTACCATTTGTATGTCTTCGTGTGAGAACTGTCCATTCAGGTCTTTTGTTTGATTCTTAATTAGGTCATTTGGTTGTTGTTTTTTTTGTTTTTTGTTTTTTTTTTTTTTTTTTTTTTTTTTTTGCTATTGAGTTGTTTAAGGCCCTTTTATATTCTGCTTATATGTATATGTATATATATATATATATAATCAGACAGATTGGTAGTTTGCAAATATTTTCCCCATTCTTTATGTTGTTTCTTCACTTTGCTGAGTGTTTCCTTTGCTGTGCAGAAGCTTTTTAGCTTGATGTAATCCCATTTGTCATTTTCCTTTTGTTGCCCATGCTTTTGAGATCTTACTAAAAATAATCTTTGCCCAGACCAATGTCTTTGTAGTGTTTCCCCAATGTTTCCTTTCATAGTTTTTTATCTTACCTTTAAGAATTTAATCCATTTTGGTTTGGCTTTTGTGTATGGTGAAAGATGGGACTATAGTGTCATTATTTTGCATACAGATATACAGTTTTCCCAGCACCATTTATTAAAGAGACTGTCCTTTCCTCGATGTATGTTTTGGTGCCTTTATCTAAAATAAGTTGGCTGTAAGTGGATTTATACCTGAGTTGTCTATTCTTTTCATTATGTGTCTGTTGTTGTGTCAATATTGTGCTGTTTTGGTTACTATAGCTTTGTATAATTTGAAATTCGGTTGTGTGATGCCTACAGCTCTGTTCTTTTTTTTCCTCAGAATTGCTTTAGCTATTTGGGATCTTTTGTAATTCCGCACAAATTATAGGATTTTTTGTTATTTATGTGAAAATGTCATTGGTATTTTGATGGGGATTTCTTTGATCTGTGTATTGCTTCAGGTAGCATAGATATTTTAACAGTATTGATTCTTCTAATCCATGAGTACGGGATTTCTTTCATTTTTTTGATGTCCTCTTCAATTTCTTTCATCAGCGTTTTATCATTTTCCTTGTTGAGATATTTTACTTCTTTGGTTAAACTGAGTTCCAAGTATTTTGTTATTTTTTGTAGGCTGTTGTAAATGGGATTGCTTTCTTGACTTATTTTTCAAATTAATTACTGTTAGTGCATAAAGGTATTCCTGGCATTTGTATGTTAATTTTGTATCTTGCAATTTTGCTGCATTTGTTAATCAGTTTTAAGAGTTTTTAGTGGAGACTTTAAGTGTTTCTAAATATAAGACCATATCATCATCAAGAAAGGATAATTTGACTTCTTCCTTTCCAATTTTGATGTCCTTTATTTCTTTATCTTGCTAACTTGCTATGGCTAGGACTTCCAGTACTATGTTGAATAGACGTGGAGAAAGTGAGCATCCTTGTCTCATTCCAGATCTTAGTGGAAAGGTTCTCAACTTTTCACTATTAAGTATGACATTAGCTGTGTGTTCGTTATATATGGCCTTTATCATGTTGAGGTACATTCGTCTATACCCAATTGGTTGAGAGATTTCATCTTGAAGAGATGTCGATTTTTATTGAATGCTTTTTTAGCACCTATTGAAATTATCATATGGTTTTGTCCTTAGTTCTGTTAATGCAGTTTCTTACATTTATTGATTTATATATGTGGAACCATCCTTGCATCCCTGGGATGAATCCCACTTGATCATAGTGAATGATTTTTTAAAATGTGTTGTTGAATTCCATTTGTAAGTATTTTGTTGAGTATTCTTGCATCTATGTTTATCAGTGATATGGGCCTATTGTTTTCTTTTGTTGTTGTTGTGTCCTTGCCTGGTTTTGGTATCCAGGTAATGCAGGCCTCCTAGAATGAGTCTGGAAGTATTCCCACCTCTTAAATTTGTTGAAATAGTTTGAGTAGAATTGGTATTATTTCTTTAAATGTTTGGTAGAATTCAGCAGTGATTTAATCATGTCCTGGGATTTTCTTCAGTGAAAAAGTTTTTATTACTCTTTTGATCTCATTACTTGTTGGTATACTCAAGTTTTTTTTGCTGTTTCATGGTTTAACTTTGGTAAGTTGTATGTGTCCAGCAATTTATCTTTTTCTTCTAAGTTTTCCAACTTATTGGCATATAGTTGTTCATAGCAGTCTTTAATGATCTTTTGTATTTCTATGGTATCCCTTGTAATGTTTTAATTTATTCATTTGGGTTTTCACTCTTCTTTTTGTAGTCTAGCTAAAGATTTGTCAATTTTGTCGTTGCAAACAACCAACTTTTTGTTTCATTTATTTTTAAAAATATTTCTTTTTAGTCTCAATCTCTTTTTTTTTTTTTTTTGCTCTGATCTTTATTATTTTTTCCTTCTGCTACTTTGAGGTTTGGTTTGTTCGTCTTTTCTAGTTTCTTGAGGTACACTGTTACATTGTTTATTTGAAGTCTTTCCATTTTTTAATGTAAGTGCTTATGGCTATAAACTTCACTGTTAAAACTGCTTTTACTGTATCCCATAGATTTTGGTATGTTGTATTTCCCTTTCCATTTATTTCGGATTCTTTAACAATTTCCTTCTTAGTTTCTTCATTGGCCCATTGTTCATTCAGGAGCATGTTGTGTAATTTCCATCTATTCGTACAGTTTCCAAGGTGCCTCTTGTTATTGATTTCTAGCTTTATTCCATTGTGGTTAGAAAAGATACTTGATATGATCTTTACTGTTTTGAATTTGTTGAGATTTGTTGTGTGGCCTAACACATGGCCTATTCTGGAGAATGTGCTATGGACTGATGTGATAAATGTATATTTTGTAGCAGTTGGTTTCAATGTTTTATCAATGTCTGTTAGGTCCACTTCGGCTACAGTAAAATTTAACTCCAATTTTTGTTGTTGATTTTCTGCCTTGGATTATATACCCATTGCCATAAGAGGGGTGTTGAAGTCCCTTACTATTATTGTATTGCAGTCTCTCCTTTTAGATATATTAACACCTGTTTTATATATTTGGGTGATTCAGTGTTGAGTGAATATATATTTATTATTGCTATATCCTCTTGCTGAATTGATACCTTTATCATTATGTAATGACCATCTTTGTCTCTTTTTACAGTTTTTGATTTAAAGTCTTTTATATCTGATACAAATATATAATATACACTTTAGTTACTCCTGCTGTTCTTTGTTTGTTTCCATGGACTATCTTTTTCCAACCCTTCACTTTCAATCTTTCTGTCTTTATAGGTGAGGCAAATTTCTTGTAGGTGGTATATACTTGAGTCTGGTTAATCTATTCAGCCACTTTGTGTCTTTTAATTGGAGAATTTAGCGCATTTACCTTCAATGTTACTATACTGCTGCTATTTTGTTACTTGTTTTCTAATTGTTTTGTAACTCCTGTCTTCCTTTGTGATTAAGTGATTTTCTCTAGTAGTATGTTTTAATTTGTTGTGTTTTATTGTTACTGTGTCTAGTATACATTTTTGTTTTCTGATTACAATGAGGCTTACAAAAAGTTCTGTAGTTATAACAAGTTATTTAAAACTAATATCAGAATGGGAAATGAAGATGACAGATAAGAGGTGAGACTAGCTTGCAGCTCCCACTCAGATGGACAGAGCAGCACATGGAGACTCACCTCATGAACTTTTGTTCCAGGAGCTACTACATAAACACACGAGGAAAGCCAAGAGAATTCACAAGCCCATTGAAGGAACTGAATTCATGCTGCAGACTTCCTGAGATGCCAAAAAACTGTGAGTCTGCTTGCTTTCTCAAAGGGAAGCTTCTGTTCTGGGGCAAGTTCTCAGCCCTGGTCACTGGCTGCCTCGAAATAGACTTGGTGCTGTTGGGGATAATGGTGGGAGTGGGACTGACCTTTAGGACTGAAGGCTGCACGGGAACAGGGTGCAGGGTGAGGCCTGTGTCTGCTGAGAGAATTTGCGACCACCAAGCCAGCACTACAAGAACTGCTAAAAGTCACTCTAAATCTTAAATCCTCAAAATACACCAAAATATAACCTCTTAAAGCATAAATCTCACAGAACTTACAAAACAGTAGCACAATTTAAAAGCCCTAACAAGGTATTCAAGTAACTAATAGCACAATGAATAGAATAGTACATCTTAATACTAACATTGACTATGAATGGCCAACATGCTCCACCTAAAAGATACAGAATGGCAGAATTAATCAAAATCCACCACCCAAATTTCTGCTGTCTTCAGGAGACTCACCTGACACATAAAGACTCATGTAAACATAAGGTAAAGGGGTGGAAAAAGATATTCCATGCAAATGGACACCAAATGCAATCAAGAGCAGCTATTCTTATATCAGACAAAATAAATTTAAAGGCACAGCAGTTTAAAAAGACAAAGAGGAACATTATATAATGATAAAAAGACTAGTTCAACAGAAAAATATTACAATACTAAATATATATGTACCTAACCCTGGCACATCCAAATTTATAAAACAATTACTATTGGACTTAAGAAATGAGATAGACAGCAACACAATAATAGTGCAGGACTTTAATACTCCACTGAGAGCACTAGATAGGTCATCAAGATAGAAAATCAATAAATAAACAATGGATTAAACTATACCCTTTGACAAATTGACTTAACAGATATTTACAGATCATTCTACTCAATAACTGAATAATATACATTATGTTCATTATCACATGGAAGATTCTCCAAGATAGAGCACAAGATAGGCCACAAAACAAGTCTCAGTAAATTTAAGAAAATTAAAATTGTGTCAAGTACTCTCTCAGGTTACAGTGGAATAAAATTGGAAATCAATTCCAGAAGAAACCCTCAAAACCATGCAAATACATGGAAATTAAATAACCTGCACCTGAATGATCATTGAGTCAACAATGAAATCAAGATGGAAATTTAAAAATTCTTTGAACTCAACAATAATAGTAACACAATCTATCAAAACCCCTGGGATACAGCATAAGTGATGCTAAGAGGAAAGCTCCTAGCATTAAATGCCTATATCAAAAAGTCTGAAAGAGCACACATAGGCAATCTAAGGTCACAGCTCATGGAACTGGAGAAACAAGAACAATTCAAACCCAAACCCAGGAGAAGCAAAGAAATAACGAAGATCCAAACTAAATGAAATTGAAACAACAGCAACAACAAAAAGACAAAAGATAAATAAAACAAAAAGCTGGTTCTTTGGAAAGATAAATAAAATTGATCAACCATTAGCAAGATTAACCAAGAAGAGACAAGATCCAAATAAGCTCACTAGAAACAAAATGGGAGATATTATAACTGATAGCACAGAAATACAAAACATTATTCGAGGCTACTATATACACCTTTACATGCATAAACTAGAAAACCTTAAGGAGACAGATGAATTCCTGAAAATATACAATCCTCCTAGATTAAACCAGGAAGATATAGAATCTCTGAGCAGACCAATAGTTAGCAGCAAGATTGAAATGGTAATTTTAAAAATTTCCAACGCAAATAAAGTCCAGGACCAGATGAATTTACATCAGAATTCTTTCAGACGTTCAAAGAAGAATTGGCACCAATCCTATTGACACCATTCCAAAAGATAGAGAAAGAGAAATTCCTCCCTAAATCATTCTATGAAATCAGTATCACCCTAATACCAAAACCAGGAAAGAACATTACAAGAAAAGGAAACTACCAATATCCCTGATGAACATAGATGCAAAAATCCTGAACAAATTACTAGCGAACCAAATCCAGCAGCATACGAAAAAGATAATCCATCATGACCAAATGGGTTTTGTAGCAGGGATACAGGGATGGTTTAACATACATAAGTCAATAAATATGATATACCACATAAACAGAATTAAAAACAAAAATCACATGATCATCTCAATCGATGCAAAAAAAAAGCATTTGATAAAATCCAGCATTCCTGTAGGATTAAACTGCTCAGCAAAACTGGCATAGGTGGGACATACATACCTTCATGTAATAAAAGCTGTCTATGACAAACCCACAGCTAACATTATACTAAACAGGGAAAAGTTGAAAGCATTTCCCCTGATAATTGGAACAAGATAAAGATGCCCACTTTTACCAGTTCTCTTCAACATAGTACTGGAAGTGTTAGCCAGAGCAATCAGACAAGAGAAAGAAATAAATGGCATCCAAATTGGTAAAGAAGAAGTCAAACTTTTGCTGTTTGCTGATGATAGGATTGTATACCTAGAAAACACTAAAGACTTATTCAAAAAGCTCCTAGATTTGGTAAATGAATTGAGCAAAATTTCATGATACAAAATTAATGTACACAAATCAGTAGCTCTGCTATACACTAACAGCGACCAAGCTGAGAATGAAATCAAGAACTCAACCCCTTTCACCATAGCTGCAAAAATAAATAAAACACTTAGAAATGTACCTAACCAAGAACATGAAAGACCTCCACAAGGAAAACTGCAAAACACTTCTTAAAGAAATCATAGATGGCACAAAAAAATGGAAACACATTCCATGCTCATAGATGGGTAAAATCAATACTGTGAAAATGACCATACTGCCAAAAGAAACATAAAAAGTCAATGCAATTCTCATCACAATACCACCATCATATTTCACAGAATTACAAAAACTAAACCTAAAATTCATATGGACCCAAAAAAGTGCCTGCATAGCCAAAGTAAGAGTAAGCAAAAGGAACAAAACTAGAGGCATCACATGACCAGACTCCAAACTATACTATAAGGCCATAGTCACCAAAACAGCATGGTATTGGCATAAAGGCACATAGACCAATGGACAAGAATAGAAAACCCAGACATAAAGCCAAATACTTACAGCCAACTGATCTTCAACAAAGCAAACAAAACCATAAAGTGGAAAAAGAACACCCTATTCAACAAATGATGCTGGGATTATTGGCAGACCACATGTAGAAGAATGAAACTGGATTCTCATCTCTCACCTTATAATACAAAAAAAACTCAAGATGAATCAAAGACTTAAATCTAAGATCTGAAACCATGAAGATTCTAGAAGGTAACATTGGAAAAACCCTTCCAGACATTGGCTTAGGCAAAGACTTTATGACAAACAACCCAAAAGCAAAGGCAACAAAAACAAAAATAAATAGATGGGAGGTAATTAAACTAAAAAGGTTCTGCACAGCAAAAGAAATAATCAACAGAGCTAACAGACAACCCACAGAAAAGGAAAAAATCCTCACAATCTACACATCTGACAAAGGGCTAATATCCAGAGTCTACAAAGAACTCAAACAAATCAGCAAGAACAAAAAAATAATCCCATCAGAAAGTACTCTAAGGCATGAATACAATTCTCAAAAGAAGATATACAAATAGCCAACAAGCATATGGAAAAGTGCTCAACATCACTAATTATCAGGGAAATGCAAATCAAAACCACAATGCAATATCACCTCACTCCTGGTGACCATAACAAGAAAAGAATTTTATTTTTTTGATTATGGAAGAATGGCCATAATAAAAAAAATAAAATAAAATAGATGTTGGCATGAGTGTGAGAAGGAAACACTTTTACACAAATGTTTTACACTGTTGTTTGGAATGTAAACTAGTGCAACCACTATGGAAAACAGTGTGAATATTCCTTAAAGAAGTAAAAGTAGATCTACTATTTGATCCAGCAATGCCACTGCTAGATATCTATTCAGAAGAAAATAAGTCATTATACAAAAAGATACTTGCACACACATATTTATAGCAGCACAATTTGCAATTGCAAAAATATGGACTCAGCCCAAATGTCCATCAATCAACAAGTAGATAAAGAAAATGTGGCATATATGTACCATAGAATACTATTCATCCATAAAAAGGAAAAAATAATGGCATTTGCAGCAATGTGGGTGGAATTGGAGACTATTATTCTAAGTGAAGTAATTCAGGAATGGAAAACCAAATGTCATACGTTCTCACTCATATGTGGGAGCTAAGCTATTAAGACACAAAAGCACAACACATTCAACTTTGGGGACTTGCAGGAAAGGGTGGCAGGTAGTGATAGATAAAAAACTGTACATTGGGTACAGTGTACACTGTTCAGGTGATGGGTACACCAAAAACTCAGAAATCACCACTAAAGATCTTATTCATGTAACCAAACAGCACCTATTCTCCTAAAAACTTATTGAAATATAAAAATTTAAATTTTTTAAAAATAAATTTTAAAAATAAATAAATAAATAAATAAAACATCTGAGATAAACTATTATCATTCTAGCATGGAGACTTCTGGTAGTCTGACTTGATCTGGGACAGAATTTGGAAATCTGGAAAAATGAATGACATAACCTTTAAAATTATGCTAAGTAAAAGAAGCCATTCACAAAGGACCACATATTACATAATTTCATTTATAGAAAATGTTCCAAATAGGCAAATCTATAGAAATAGAAAGTAAATTGGTGATTGCATAGGGCTAGGGGATTTGGGTAACATAGGGTGATGGCTACAAGGTATGGGTTACTTTTGGGAGTGGGTTAAATAGTGTTTCACCAAAATTCATGTTCATCCAGAATCTCAGAATGTTACCTTATTTGGAAATACAGTTTTTATAGATGTAATTAAAGTAGAGGTTAGAGTGGGATGTAAATCCAATGATGATAATGCCCTTATAAGAGACAGAAAAGGACACACAGACCACACAGACACATAGGTAAGGCCATGTAAAGACAAAGGTAGGGATTGGAGTGATGCAGCCACAGGCTAAGGAGTTCCAG